TCCGATGCTAAAGCATCGGCGTCGTCGGCTTCGTTTCGGAGATCTCTGTGCGGTTCTGGAGATTCTGATGGCCGCGGCTGGACGCGGCCCCGAAAGCTGACTGGGGTGGACCCCGGCGCCGGGAGAGGTCGAGGGATCGGTCTAGAGCGGCTCTTGGTCCTCTTTGGGTCGAGGTTCGAGGATTCTCCTCCTCCTGCCGCGCACTCGTCCTCCTCCTCCTCCTGCTCCTCCTCTTCCTCCTCCTCCTTGGTTTAACCAGGGGCCCGTTCCTCCTCCGAGGCTGAGCTTGAAGTAGGCGGCTACGCCTGGCTGCCCGTCGGCGGCTGCCAAGTCGTACATTTGTTGGAACATCATGTCGATGAGCATCGGGTCCTGGTAGTTGTACTCCGACCTTGCCTTGGATACCTATCGGTCGGCTGCTTCATCATAGGGTCCCACTGTAACTTCCCGCCTGTTGAGTAGCGGGCCAGCTTTTATCCTGGCGCCAGGGCCCCGCTGGCATCCTGCTGCAGCCCAGCGCCGTCAGGCTGAAGCCCGGCGCTTCCTGGTGGTCGTCGCAGCTCAGTTGGAGGCTCTCGAGGCCCTGCCTGTCGCTCTCGGAGCTGTGCTCGTGGTCCTCGTGGTGCAGCTGGTGGCCCTCGCAGGTCTGTCGGGAGCTCTGGCAGCTCAGCAGGCGGCCCGGGTGGCTCTGCCAGTGGCTCGCGCGAGCTCAGGCTGTGGTTCTCGTCGCCCTACCTGCGGCCCTCGTGGTTCAGCCTGCGGTTCTCGCAGCCCAGTCGGTGGCCTCCGCAGCTCTTCTGGTGATTTGCGGCTCGGCAGGCGGCCCCGGTGCCACGGCCGGTGGCCCTCGACGCTCCGCCGCTCGGCCGGTGGTTCTCGGAGCTCTGCCGGTGGCCCTCGCAGCACAGCGGGTGGCTCTCGAGAGTGTGCCGGTGGCCCTCGCAGTTCAGCGGGTGGTTCTCGAAGTTGTGCGTCGTGCCCTCGTGGCGCTGCTGGTGGCTCGCGTTGCGTGGCAGGCTGCCCTGGGTGGTTCCCGTAGCTCTGCTTGTGACCCTCGTAGCTCTGGTGGCAGGGTGAGGGGCTCGTGTGTGGTGGATTCGTCGTAACTGTTCTGCTCGCCGTAACCGTTGTAGGCGTCGTAGTCGCAATCGACGTAGGCGGTGTACACGTGGTTCACCAGTATCTCCACGAAGACGTATTTTGTCTCTCCCCTCGGGCTGTTCGGCTTTGTCGTGTCTGGTGGAGCACTTTGTGCTGCAATTGTCGCCACTGTTGTCGTACTTGTCGTGCGTTTTGATGCCGTACTTGTTGACGTCGTACTTTTCGACGTCGTACTGGTTGGCGCGCTTCGTCACCCACTTTACGTCTTTCTGAGTCACAGTGGAGACCCTGGCCAAGAAACACCCAGCTTGCCTCCAGGGTGCCCTGGGTTCATTGGATTTCGATGGTTTTACTGTGGAAGACGTGACGTTCCCACGCCGAAAATCCACGGACGTCCTGGGGTCTCAGGGTTGGGTTTCTTGTGGAAGGTTTCTCGTGGACTGGCCTCCGCTGTATGTAGCCGCCTGTCCGCGCAGCGTAGCCCAGCCTACGCGTTGCAGCGCGAAGTGCCCTTGGTCTCCAGCGGCCAGGTCTGGTCTCGTGGCCCTTCTCGCCGTAGACTGCTGGCGCCCGCGGCGCACGTTCCGCCATCGCGCGGTGGCAGGCCGTGCGGGCTGAGGCTGGCCGGCCCCGCAGCCCTGGGGCCCCGAGTGCGGGAGATCGATCCCGCATATGATCTTCCTCCTCCTCCTCCTCCTCCTCCTCCTCCTCCTCCTCCTCCTCCTCCTCCTCCTCCTCTACCTCACCTTTCGCGTTGGCCAGACCTTATGTGTCCGCATGTGGCGTTCTTCCTCCTCCACCTCCCCCTCCTCCTCCTCCTCCGCGCGCGCCCAGGGGGGAAATGGGAGTCCGAAGCTAGGATTTACACACCCAGCCCCCTGGGTGGCGGCTGTTCAGGGGGTACCCAGGAGCAGTACTGTGTGACACCTTGTGTCCCGAGGTCCGGGAGAGCCGCAACGTGTGACACACTCTTCCGCGTCCTGTCGGGCATTCTTTCCTAGTCTTCGTCGTCTTTTTTCCGTCCTTTCTCGGGCTCCTGCGGGGCAGTCTTCAATCTGAAGGGTCCCTTGGGTCTGTTTGCGCCGTCCAGGGGCCCTCTTAGGCGGGGGCTTTCTTGGGGCCGTTTTGGGCCCTCCTGGCTGTCTGGGAGATCTCTTGCGGCCGTCGCGGGTGCGTCTGTGGGCCGTTGAGGATTGGGCCCCTGTGAAGGCCCTCTTGGGCCAGTTTGGGGCTCTCTAGTGGCCGTCTAGGTGCCCCCTTGGGCTGTCTTGAGACAGCCTTGGAGGACTGTCGGTGAATTTTTTGGGCTTTGTTTTGGAGGCCTCTAGGGCCGCCTGGAGGTGCGGGAAGTCCGAAAAGTTGAAGACACGCCTGACAGCAAAAAGTATGGATTTGACTTCTTCGGGTCCGAATTACTGGAGGTCCTTTTGTGGCCCCCTCGGGCCGTCTTGGGGGCCTTTTGAGCCGTCTTGAGGCTATCATGGGCCGCCTCAGGGCTTCTCTTGGGCTGTCTTGGAATCTGGGAAGCTCGGGAGCGGTAACGAGGGATCGTTTTCCCGGGAGATGGGATCCATCGTTTTTGTTGAAGGGTTTTTCATTTTCGGGAGCGCGGAACAATATTTTTCGTACGAAGGATCGTGGCATCGTGGCCTCGAGAGGCGGGACATTGCGCGCGAAATGGATTCCAACAAAACAGCACTTGACGTGTCTTGACATTTCGCCATGCCTCAACGTGCCAGGGGGGACACCGTGGCGGATCCCCCGCCTGCGGAACCGAGCTCCAGGACCCGAAAGAGCAGGCATTCATACATTTGGGCCCTGGGGGCTCCAACGTTACCCGCATCCACCGCCTCCTACAGGGTCTCAGGACATCGGTTGTCCAGGCGGTGTATACGTCTAAATCACCGCCTCGCAGGGAGGAGGAGGAGGACGAGGAGGATGAGGAGGAGGAGGAGGAGGAGGAGGAGGGACGAGGACAGGGATAGGGGGAGAGGGGACGCTCGTCGCTTTGGTCCGCGCCGCACGCTGTATGGTAGCCAGCTTCGCGGGGCGTCGGACCTTTACGCAGAGCTCGCACCGTCTACCTTGGGGCGGAAGCGCGCGGGAGTGATGGAGGGATGTTCTTGTATGCCCTGCGGCGGCAGCGGTCGATCTAACCGCTTCGAGGAACGACGAAGGCCTTGACTTTTGCGAAGGTGATGGCGACGAGGCAGTGAGAGTGGGGACGATGCTGCCCTTGGTAGTTGTTGTAGAGGTGGGGATGAAGAGGAGGAGGAGGAGGAGGAGGAGGAGCAGCAGCAGGAGCAGGAGGAGGAGGAGGAGGAGGAGGAGGAGGAGGAGGAGGAGGAGGAGGACGGGGAGGAGGATGAGGAGGAGGAGGCGGAGGAGGAGGAGGAGGAGGAGGAGGAGCATGAGCAGGAGCAGGATAGCGCGGCGGTGGCCAGGCGCTCGACCAAGCGGAGGAGCTTCGCATGCAGGAGAACAAGGAAGGCGGAGTGCGCCTGCGGGTGTGTCCACTTGCGGCCCGGGTGGGGCACGGTCCTCAACCCGTTTTTCCTTCTTCTGCCTCGATTTCCCCGCCTCCTGCCACGCCGCTGACGTGTCTTCCTTTTTTCGTCGTGGACCCCCAGATCAAGGGAGAAAAACCACCCAGACCCGACAATTGGCGTTTACTAAAAGGCCCTGGGCGTTTACTAAACAGCCCTGCCCTGTTTGATTCCTTCTTTGGGCGCGTTGACTAAACAGCTTCGCGTGTCGCGGTGATTACTATAGGGGGGGATTTTCTGCCCTCTACCAGAGGTCTCTCGCCCTCTTCCCACTGACAGGACGGGCGTCCCATGATCGTTTTTTTCGACGGCCCCAGGGCCCGACAGGGGCCCGCAGAGGTCGAATATGGTCGAAATCCTGCAATTCGTTGGTTGTTGTTGATTTCCTTCTCGAGGGGGCTGCTTCAGGAGCAACGTTAGGGGGGAGAGATCGCTCAGTCATTGCGGATAGCGGCCTGATCGCCCACCCCGCCCATGAGTGGGCGGTTTCGCTACAGGAGACCCACCGACGATCACTCGGCGATGTATGGCCGATTCCAGGTCGATGTTTCCCTTCCTGCGTTGGCCCCCCCTGTCGTCCCCACTCGTCTCCTCGTCCCTCTCGCAGCTCTCGAACCGAAGAGGCCTCGAGCGAACACCGCAGGGCCCCGCTGGCCTCGGGTTCCCATTGGCTGCGGTGCTCTCGGCGTGCACCGATCGTGCTCACGTCGTGGCCCAGGTTGGTAAGATGGTAAGATGTGTAGTTGTGCGGTGTGCGCTTGCTTCCTCATCCTGCCTCGTGGTCCCGAGGGCCCTCTTCGACGTCTGTCGTTGGGCTGCGGTAGTTCTCTCCACTCGGGATGAGCGGTCGAGGAACCCGGCCAGGGCCTAGGAAGGCCCCTTGACGTCGTCTCTCTCCTGGCCTGTCTCACGAGGATGATGATGGCGCTTCTTTCCTGGGGCTGGTGATGGAGGAGGCGGTTTCTGTGCGCCACCTACCTGTCACTTCCTTTAGCCTGAGGGCGTTCGTTCCCGCGGACGTTTCCCAGTGGGTGCGTCCTCCTCGTCCTTCTTTTCCCTCTTCCCCTGCAACTCCTCCGCCTCCTCCTCCTCCCCATCCCCTTTGTCTGCGCGCGGTCGTCGCCGTTCTCGTCCCTGACGCCTGTGGGAGAACTCCCAGACAACTCCTGCTGCTGCTGCTGCTGCTGCTGCTGCTGCTGCTGCTGCTGCTGCTGCTGCTGCTCCTGCTGCTCCCCCCCACCGCCTCACCATCGGCGTGGTGCCCGGCAGCTGTGCGGCCGCCGGAGCCCGCACCCCTCCAGGGGCGAGCAGGGCCGCCGAGCCTCCGAGAGTGCCCCTCCGTGGCTCGCCCCTTCGGCCCGAGGAGATCTGCACGGGCCCGGCGCCGCGGCATCCGGCCTGCGCCCGCTCCCCCCCCGCCCCCCTCGAGACCGGGCGCCGCGGCCTCGAGGGCGCCCCCAGGCAGGCATGCTGGCCGCCCTGGAGGCGCAGCGCCTGCGCCTGCGGCCGGTGGAGACGGCCCCCGCCGCGGCCGCGGCCGCCACGGGCACCGGGGAGGAGCTGCCCGAGAAGGAGCAGCAGCGCATCCGGCAGGAGTTCTTTGCGGCCGGCCTGGAGAAGTGGGCCACTCTTCGTTGACACGCAGGGGTGGCCCTTCGCTGGAGTGACCTTCGGTGCGGGCCCACTGGGGTCCGCCTGATCGCCGAACGCGATGCGCTAGTAGCGTCTTGCGCACTCCTGTTTGGTCCCCCGCGGCCCCCAAAGAGCCGCGCGCCCGCTAAAGGCCACTCTTACCCAGGGTCACTCTTGCGTGTAGCAAACACTATCCTGTTCTCCACGGCGGCACTGCAAAGTGTGGATCCCCTCAGGGTGCGCTTTGGCCAGGGTTCCAGATGGGGGGGGTCTGGCCAAGGCGACGAGACACCCTCCCCCTCTCCCGGGGGCCAAGGGAGGGCTGAACAAGTCCAAGCGGTACGCCTCCGGGTTGCGCAGAGACGGCCCCCCCCCAGGCTTGTCGAGGCCAGCTGGGACTGCTTAGGGGGGGGGGGGCTGTCTGTGCGCAACCCGAAGCCCGCAGCTCGATCTCTCCAGCCTCGTGGCGAGGTGGCTTCCCCTGGTGGCGGACCTCAGCTTCCCGAGCAAATCGCTGCCGCTGTCGCGGGAGGCGTGCGAGGCGCTGCTTGCGGCCGACGGGGCCACCGCGGACGCGGCCGCCGCGGGGCTGGCCCGCGGCATCGACGAGGCCATGGACGATTGCGGCTGGGATGTCCGGGGGCAAAGCGTGGCGTGCCGATGCCGATGCACCCAGACGTGTGTTGCTGTCATTCTCGGCCTCGGGGACCTTTGCTTCTGCAGTTCTCGGGCTCTGGGGGCCCGCTTCGGGCCCCAGGGCCGCCTGAAATCGATCCGGCCAGGATGGACGAAGCACTGGCCAGGATGGACCCCCCGAGGGAGAGTGTCTGGTTTTGAGCGAATTGGGGTCGCGAGAGTCGGCAGAGAAAGCGCATACCGATGCCGATGCCCTCCTCTCGCTTTACCTTTTTGGGCCTCCTCGGAGGCCCTCGCCGCCGCGCCTGGATTTGCTTCGGAGTCCTGGTCTGCTTGGGGTCAGCGCTGACGGGGGTCAGCCACCCTCCTCTGAATCCCCTCTGGTCAGAGGCCAGCAACATATGTACATGTACGCGGTTAGCTTCCCCTGGAGGGCATTTGAACGAGGACGTTCGTGCACTCAAGATCGCGGAGGGCGTACATGTACATATGTCGTTGCTCGCGGATCTGGGTGGTGCAGAGACTGTCAGAGGCGACTCGTGAGCTTTTCCTAATCGTCATGAGAGAACCGTGAATCCGGCGGGGCGGCGCTCTGCCGCCTGAAGATTGGGATTGCGAAGGCCTTACGGCCAGTGCCACCGACCCTGAAGGGGGACGACACCGGCGGCGTCGACGACGACGACGACACTGACGTGGGCCAGAGTTCTCAGGGATGCTTCTTGGGGTCTCTTGGGAAAGCTATCGGGGGCCTCTGGGGAGGAATTTGGGGGTCTCTTTGGGGGCAGCTTCGGGGTTCCTGGTCGGAGGTCCGGTCCGACAGGGCGGCGCTCTGCCGCCTGAAGATTGGGATTTTGTCGGCGCACTTCATTGCGTGTGCTGTCAGATACCCTGCACAGCGCTTGTCCGAGGGACCTGCAGCGCGCGCGAAACAGCGCCATAAGTTGACGACATATTCGCAAGCAACACCCCGAACAGTCTTGTGGGGAGGCCTTTTGCGGGCGAACCTGTGCGCCCTGTGCTGGACTCTTGTGAATGCCCTTGGGGCTGGAGAGAGGTTGATACAGGTTCACTGAATGTTGAATGGAATGAAGGGTGGAGGACATGTGGTGTACCTGCGTTGGTGGTGGCGGGTGTATGGTGCCCACCTGTGGTTCTAGAAGGGCCCATGGTGCCCCTCAGTGCCCATCCCGTCCCGTCCACAGTGACTTCGCACCCCCCCCCAATGGTGGGGAGGTGGGTGGACGGGCCGCCCCCCCTGGCGTCGCACGTACTGCGCCAGGGGTGGTGGGGATTCCCATTGAAGGCAATGAGTTCCATGAAGTCCCTCTCGCCCGTCCCTCCCATATACACCTGGTCGCCGTTGGAAACCCTATGGTGGCCTCCGGTGCGGTCGGGGGGCATCGCCCTCTGGTGGTTGATGCATTTGGCCCGCTGCCGAGCCATATGGTGGCTCTGGCCAGGGGGACGACGCAGCATGAGCGAGGCGGTCCACAGGCGGGGAGTCACGCCGCAGCCGCCGCCACCTTGCGGCGTCACGCCCCCGACGAACACCTCGCTGCCACTCCCCCGAGGAGGAACAAAGACCTCCCACCCTCCCCCGCCCAAGTTCCATGCATTCTCTGAAGTCAATGCAGGGGCACTGGACGGCCCAGATAAGGAGGGGGCGCAGAAGATGCACGATGGACACGGCCCCCGTGCGCAAGACCCCTTGTGCGCCTCGTGTGCCGGCGCTCGTCGCTCGGGCATTCGGCATGTTCACTGACAGTGCGCCGAAAGTGCAGCGAGAATGCACCGAAGCTGCCGCCGACCTCCCGTGGTGCTTTTGGGGGTTCTCCGAGATCCCGCCCGCGGCACCACGGATTCCCGGGGGGGCAGCGTGGGAGTCAGCATGTCAGGAGCCAGTCAAGTTCCAAGGTCCACACGGGGACTGGACATCCTCCCCGGGAATGCGGTTGAGGCTACGAACGCAGCAGCATCACCATAATTTTTTTTCAGAGCACGTACAGGGAACTGAGCATGCATCAGAAAGTACACAGGGCATGTACAAACATGCATAGAACATGCACCGAAACTACACCTATAATACATTGAACGAGGGCCGAGTTCCATGTATATTCAAAAGACGCCCCGTGCCGCATGGGGACAACCAATGGCCACACTCGATCGGCGCGCGGGCCTTGTGCCAAGAGGAAGAAGAACAATAAGAAGAATAGTAGCCTCGCGCCGGCTACAGCGTATGAGCAATACATGGAGCGTGCACGAATGCGGATGCCTTCAGCAAGCCGCCCATGCCTTAATCGCCAGCTCCCTCTTGCGAGCTGCATCGCCCGCTCGGCGGAAGTAGTCAGCAGTCGCTCATGAGAACCGTCAGGATTCTCGCACTTCGTTAGCACCATGGGCTCCCAAGACTGTCTCGGGCGTCCTCTTCTTCTTTTCCTCATCAGGCGGTTGAGACCGCTTGGCTTAAAAACCGAATTTCGATTTTGATCCTCGTCCGGCTTTCTGGCCAAATTACCCAAGTACAGCATGTGACTACGTGCGATGATATCGCTCAGTTGCGTCTGTGGAGAAATCTACAGAACTGTGCGGTTTGTAACCCGGCTGATGTACGACGTGGGAGTTCTGCAAATAAGTCTGAGACAATAATTGTGAAATCCGTCAAGCTGTTTCCGCTCGGCTGTGTTGAGGCAAGCAGAAAAGACATACGTGAGTTTGGGCACAATGCAAGCGTTAATTATACGGAGTTTCTGCCTCCTACTCAAAGTAGAGTGCGACCAAGTGCTTGCGAGCACCTTGAAATCATGTCTCGCCGCCCCGTTTATCCGGTTCAGTTCCGTACCGATGCGCCCGTCTGCATCGAGCGACGTCCCAAGGTTAACCAAATGGTGTCTGGCTACAATGGGGGACCCGTTGCGTCCCATCATTTTTGCGCCAGTCCGAACTTCCATCAGTTCCAATTTTCCCCAATTGGTTTGTTTTTCTCGATGCGGCGCATCAGCTCTTGAACGAGGGTCGTCGAGTCAGAGACGATCAGCATGGCATCGTCCGCATGCATGAGTTCCCGTGGAAAGACTTTCTGGAATCGGCCTGGCACGACTCTGCAGTAGCGCGTGCGCGTCCGCACGAAGCGTCGTCATCACGACAACGGACAAGAACGGGCAAAGGGGACAGCCTTGGCAAATGCCACACCTCTGCTGTTGGATGCCCGATGCAGTTCCGAAGTCCTTCGCGACGAACTTGCGCTCGACCTGACGACGTCCACACGTCGCCCGGGCAACCGAACCTGCACAGCGGTCCGGCGAGCACGCCTGGCGAGATTGAGTCGAAGGGTTTTGCCTAGTCAGGTGCCAGGAGCAAACGGCTCGCGTCTCGCGTAGGCATCCTGCGGGCAAGGAACACTGCGTCTGCCGTGATGGGCCTGTTTCCCACCACCACCACCATAAGTTGAAGGGGGAGGGGGTCCTCCACCTCCTCCTCCTCGTCCTCCTCCTCCTCGTTCTCCTCCTCCTCCTCGTCCTCCTCCTCCTCGACCTCCTCCTTCCCCCCTCCAACTTATGGTGGCGGTGGTGGAAACCAGGCCCATCATGTCATGCCCCGCCGGGAGCGGAATCCGGATCGGGTTTTCCACGCGCGGCCTGCGGCCCCCGCTCGTTTCGGCCCCAGTGTGGTAGAATGGCCGCGACCAGCGTGTCGCCGAGGGGCGAGCTGCCGATCGGGCGGTGGCTGTCGCATTCCGCAGGATCGTCCCCCCCGAAGAGCATCACCTCTGGCCACTGCTTGGCCTGGTGCCCAGCGGCTGCCACATGTGCCTGATGTTCGGGCGAAGAGAACTATGCTGCACATGCACCAATCCTGACACCGTCCATCCTTGGCCCAGGATCGGTGCACGTGCCCTCCTGGCCAAGGTAGGAGGGCGTATGGACCGATCCTGGGCTCAGGATGGGCCTGGCCAGAATCGGTGTATGTGCATAGTTCTTTTTCCTCTATGATGTCTGAAACCGGATGCAGATTTGTAAGCATTCTGCGCAGGCGGCTCCCGCGGGGAGGCGGGCGGGCTCTGCCCGCTGGCATTGGAGCCTAAGGAAAGCCTCGCCAGATTGCAGCCGGCTGCCTCTTGCAGTCCCTACAGTCGGACCGAGGTATAGGACCGAGGTCAATTCGGGAAGTGTGCCCTGGTGTTCTGCGCGTTTGTTGGATGTTATGTTATTGTGCATCCAGGGCAGGGTACCCTTTGATTTTCTGTTTGTTTTGGCCGACGGAGGGTCTCATGTTCTTGAAGAATGTTTTTCTGGCAGAGGTCCGACCGTACACTGGGTAGCCTGGGTTTGGGAGCCGCGTGAGAAACGGCGTCGTCTTCACCGACATTGGTGCGTAAGTTGCCCACATCAGGTCGCGCGTAGGCGCCCTCGCTTCCCATCGAAGGAGCCGCGCCGGCGTCCCGCGTAAGCCACCGCGTAAGGTCGCTATGCCATGTGGCATAAGAGCAGTTCTTTTCCGCTGCTCGCATGGAGCCGACCCGCCCTTTTCCTTCCCACCGATGATCCGGGTCTGAAAGCTACAGTTAACCTGCACAGTTAGGGGAACAAAAAGTGGCATAGACATAAAAACTCGGAGGTCCGCGCGGAGTTCTCGGATCGGCGCTGGGGCCCCGCGGCGGCGCCTCCGGCGCCGCCCTTGGCGCGCTCCGCGCGCCAGGGAGGAGGGTCCGGCGCCGATCCGAGAAATCCGCGCATACTTCTGAGTTTTTATGCTTATGCCTTTTTTGTTCCCCTAACAGTAATGATGAACAACTTTCCAAGGTTACCCCTGCATCCTTCTCCTTCGGCCCATCCTTGGCCGCTTTCGCTGGCCGCGCCCCGCCCGCAAAGCATCGGCATGGCCTGCCAAGGCCCTTGCATCCTTACCGCACCTCCTTCCAGTGGAGGTCCATGCCGAGAAACACCCTGCCTGCCTCCAGGGTGCCCTGGGTTTCTCGGGTTTCGATGGCTTCGCCATGGAAAGCGAGACGTTCCCACACCGAACATCGATGGACGTCTTGGGGTCTCAGGGTCGGGTTCCCTGTGGCAGGCTCCCTGCGGTCGGGCCTCCACTGTGCCACGCGGGCCGCCCGCACTTCGCCGCCCGGCCCAGGCCCGGGACGTGGGCGCGGCCGGTGCCGGCTCGGGCCAAGGCGACCCCCGAGGCCAGCCCGCGCACTCGCCCGTGAGCGGCGAGCTCCTCTGCCTCCGTGCCCTCGCGGGCCGGACTCCGGGGCGAGGTCCGGCGCATACGTGGTCGCAGGGATACGCTCCGCGCGGGCCATCCGCGAGACGGCGCCCCTTGTCCGCCAGGCCGCGGCCCCGGGAGCCCGGGGGCCCCGAGGCCGCTGCCACGGACACGTTTGTCGCCCACGGGCTTTCGCGGGGAGTGGTCTGGGGTGCGGCGGTGTCGGTGAGCAAATTAATCATTTGGCCCTCCATGCTCCACTTCCTTCCCCTCCTCCTCCTCCTCCTCCTCCTCCTCCTCCTCCTCCTCCTCCTCTCCCCTCCTCCTCCTCCTCCTCCTCCTCCTCCCTCCTCCTCCTCCTCCTCCTCCTCCTCCTCCTCCTCCTCCGCCTCCTCCTCCTCCTCCTCCTCCTCCGCCTCCTCCTCCTCCTCCGCGAGGACCGGGTGTTCGTGAAGCTCTCCACAAGGCTCGGCCGCGCGCGGCAGGGGGGTTTTGGCAGGGCGAGGAGGGGGACGCGGCCCCCCGGATGGTGCGCTCCGCCTCGCGGAGGCCCCGCTCCTGCCTCGCAGGAGGCCTCCTCTCGGAAGGCCTCCGAAGAGGGCCGGTGCCCTCCTCCGCCTCCTGCCCCTCCCTTGGCTT